AACTTAGAGTTTAGATCTACTTCAGTTTTGCAATTGATGAAGAGGTGAAATCAATCCTAACTTCATTCGCACATTATTTCATTAACAAAATTCATAGCTCTATTTTGTTGTTATTTTCTGGTTTCTGCAATTTATTGCTTTTGTTCTTAAATGCTTCAAAACACTCCAAATTTCGTTTAGCTCAACTAGTTATTGATTTGTGAAGTGGTAATTGATAGAACTAATCCCTGAGGACGATACTTGGGACTCAAACTAAATTCCAAATTTTATCACTTGCTACAACTACCTAGTACACTTGCTAGTTAGTGTTCTCTTAGCTTTGTGACAATCCATATGTTCAAATTGAAGCCCAGGAAATCAGGAATCCATTGCAAAAAGAATCAGCCAAAAAGGAAATCTACAAAAAAAAGTTATGGCTAAAATAATAGACAAAGGTCAAAATAGTAAAAAAATGAAATATAAAGTAAAGATAATAAGTATATGTAAAAACTCCAATTTAAAGCAAGAAATGCAAAAGCATGCTAAATGAAAGAAATAAAAAAGGAAAAGGTATTTTGGAAGGTGCAATAAGACTATAAATATGACTACAAAATGAGTCATCAGGCACGTCAGTTTTGATTCGTTTTATGAATTATTATTGCTTTTCTACTACTTGCTAATTTTACATAATTTGATTTTTTGCTATTTTGATTCAATGGCTTTTTGTCCCTCTCTAAATAGAGTGATTTTGAATAGTAAGTGTACTAGTGTTATTGTAGCAAGTTATAAAATATTTAGAACTATGTTTGAGTCCTAAATATCATCCTCAGGGAATAGAATTCTCAAATATCTCTTCACAAGTCCATAATTAGTTGAGCCTAAAGCAATTCATTTGGAATTTGTAATGTTTGAAAGCAATTAAACCAGTAAAGAATGCAGAAATTGCAGCAGAGTAAAAGATACGATGATTCATCCCTAAGAAATCAATAATCTTGGTAATTGATTCAGATCTGAGAAACAAATTCAACTTCCATTGATAAAATCTTCTCTGTGATTAGTTAATCAAATTTTCATTTAATAACTACTTGAAAAGCAGAATCAATTACTCAATCCAATCCAGCACTCAAAGTTCAGATCCAAAATCAATTTAACACTTCGATTTCAGATCTATAAATCCCTAACTACAAAGAGTTTAGAACTCCATTACAAAATGAAAATATAAAGAAAGAGAAAAAGAAGATTTCAACATCCCAAATCTCGGCCTACATGGCAGAGAGTGTTAATTATTAATTAGTAACTCTTTTATTTAATTTTCAGTACTTTAGTTCAGTTCTTGCTACAACTGTTTAATCACATTATGTTCCCTGCTTACATAATTATTTCTCCCAGGGCATGTTGAGTTAATTTCGTATGTGCATGTCTATATGATTATGAAATGAAGTTACCTTGACTTAACCCAAGGTTAGTGAGATTAACCTGGGGCGAGATAGTCTTTTGAGTCAGATGAATAGATTTTTTTTTTATTATTGTTATTAATATTACATAGTTCTTTTAATTCTTATTATTTGATTTTGTGATATGCTTTCTTAATTTAAGTGGAACTGCATGTGTGATTTTTTTTACTTATATTGAATGTTCACTAGGTTCTAATAATGGGTGTACTTAAATTTTCCATTATTCTGGTACCATGCACACTAAGTTAGACTATTAATGAGAGCCACCATCCTTTTTACCCTAGAACTCACGTGTACTACAAAGGATCCAAGAGGCAAGTTTCAATCTTTCCTCATTTAGTGCTTGTAACCGAAAAGTCATTCATGTCCAGGGGAGGGAGAGAATCGAATTTGATAGCCTAGGATTCTAGCCTAAATTAACTATACTTAATGCAATTCCATTGTTCCATGTTACCCTAAATAAATACAGCCACCACCTCTTAGACTGCCATATTTTAAATTGGACCTTATTTAAAAACTTTCCTTTTATAGTGCAACCGAGAATTTAAGGCTACAACCCTTTTCTAGAAGAATAGACTTTCCACATTCTCGGCACTTACACATAATTGTTACCCTATTCATTAATGCACCTTATGATTTTATTCAATACCCCTCTTTTAAATAAGGTAATCAGATTTTCGTTAATTGTTTATGCAGGAGAGAGAAAAACTGGCCATAATGGCCTAGATTTAGAGCATGAAACATTGCATTTAATGAGATTACTAATTCCCTGGTTATCCTAATTAGATGCAGCCGTTTTCCTTTCCCTAGACTACCGTTTTTGTGTGATAAATATTATAACCCCCTCAGTAATGGTGCAGCCGTGAATTAAAGGAAATTAGGAGCCCCAAAATCGTTTCCCCAAAACGTAACCTTTCCATATTCTCGTGCTCTTAATTAGTCAGCCACTAAAATTCAATTTGATATTTATTCCAATGACCATTTATTAGAGAATTAATCATGCTTGATTACTTCCACGACCAACCCTTCATCTAACCGTTAACATACACCCAATTGCCTTAATTACTTTCCACTCACCTTTAATTTCCTCGAGGAAAACGTATGGACACACCCCAATCTTCTCCCCCAAATGATTGAAAACGTCAGCCACATTAAGGATAAGCATGAGTCAATGTGGAAACTCTCCCATGATACATTTAAAACCCTAAAAACTGTGTATGATATTAATTGTGTATTCTTGCCTTAATTGCTTTGCATTCATGACTAATCATTACAAGATTATGTACGTGTACTACCCTAAAAAGGCGTCACTTTATGGGTAATTCAAAGAGACATTGCATGTTTATTCTCCTCTCCAACAACCTAAACCGCCACCCACATTTAAAACGTTGTACCTAGAATAAATGTTCTCTTTGGAACCGTACCACCATTAAACCCCACTTAAAAGACCTTTTCATTTACACAGCCACATAAGAGACACACCCCTTTCAATTTTGTGGGATACGAAGGGTTTAAGCCTATTCCCTCCACAAATCAAAACCCTAGCCGCCAATATCCTCTAACTGCTCACTCTTGTCCAAGTCAAAACCCTACTTAGTCATTCCATTATGATGGCTGGCCTATGGAGGCGTGTGAAGCATTAATGGCTTGCTTCTTTTACACTCTGAGCATTTAATACTCTTGAAGGGACGTTTTGCATGCACCTGGACACCGTGAGGCACGACCTTTCAAAAATAAAGGGGAGGCAAAAGGGTGTTTCACTTAACTTAACCCTAAAACCATTCTTGTACAACCCTTCATTGCTAACCTCTGGGAAACGAATAGACATGAGGTTTAGGTTACACTATATAAGAACCCCTTCATTTCTGATGCACCCCTTTTCCCTTCTCATTTTTCAAAACACTCTCAACCTCATCTCTTTTTTCTCTCTCAAAAGTTCTCTCTTCCCCCACACCAAACACCCTTCTTCACTCTCGTTCTCGTGAGTGTCACCACCCCCTTGAAGGTACGAAGAACCCTAGAGAGTTCCCAACATAGCTTGCACCCCTCTTCCAACGATTGTGCCGCCATCCAAGATTCAAGCTGTAGTTGAAGTTCTTACCAACACCGAGGCTAAACCTTCCACTTCTCATCTCTTTTTCGAACCAAACAAGGTTAGGGGAGTTCTTGATTGTGTGTGAATGAATGTGTTTGCTAATATGTACGTGATCGAATGTGATGAATATTCTTCCTTCCTATTTTTTGTTTCCAATGAGATTAAAGTTGCATGCAAATGACTTTCTCTTCATCTTCTAACTTCTTTGTTCGAACACTACTTAAAAATGGCATGTGGTAACTCGAATGGGTGTGGGTAAGTGAGATTACTATTTGTATGTCAATGATATTGAAAACCTTACACGATTCTTTCTTGTTTGCCCTCACTACTAAATAAAGTTGGTAACTTTGATGAATATCCGATTACATGTTAAAATAACTCTATGAGTCCTTGTGTTCTTTTCGGTTTTCATCGACCACCCTCTTTCCTTTTTGTTTTAATTGAAAATTTTCTCACCTTTTTCTCTCGGTTTCGTTTTGTATGAACAAGGAACCGTTTTTCTTAACCATGAAAGAATTCTCTTATTACCTAATCACTATTTTACAAAATTTTTGTGGTAAAAATGAGTTGCATGTGTCATTAAACTTGCGGTTATTTCCATGATTCCTTGATGATCATTTTGTTTGCGAAGGTACGTTTTGACTATGACATTTTAAAGGGATTTTTATAACTATCTCCATCTTCTCTCCTTTTTCTTTTATTCTTGGACCGTGGATGAATGGTTCTTCTTTTCTTTGAACGTACTAGCTCTTATGAGCGTGGACTTGGTTATATGGTTTGTGACCTTTGGGAATTAAATATGTGTTCAAAAATGGTGACGTGAGAATGAGGTTATGAACCTTTTTATGTGCATGATATGGAGGATGGAGAGTCGAGGTCACAGTCTAGCACAACTGAGGGATGTGAGTGTTCAGGTTCGAGGGAAGGACTTTGGGGGTAGTGGAGGGGGGTTGCCCCAATGGTGCGGAATAGCTCACCGCGGCCGGGACACGTCGCCATGGAAACCTCCACTAATCCTGACGCGAGCAAGCATTACCGAGGATCGTGGAAGGACTCGTTCCTGAGGGACCGAAATGGTTAAATGGGAGAATATTCTCGATGGATTACATACAATGTGTGCTTGTAGGGAACGAGGGCCTCCGATCACCTTGACTGGAGGAATGTGGGAACAAACTGAGGAAGTAGTGACGTTTTAAGCGTTAGTGTTTAAATTATGTTGCGATGAATCTCTATGACTCCGCCTGCATTTTGTAACTGTTTATTGGACATTTTGTTATGACTATGTGTTTATTGAAATGTGACTTCGTAAGTGCTTGATACTACTCTAATTTTCTTCCTTACTCAATATCTGATGACTGATTGTATTGGAGCTCACCCTTTCTGTTCGTGTTCCATTGTTGTGTGTTTGTGTGTATTGGAGATACGACCAGGCAACGTGTCGTCTCGTATGCCAGGGGATGGTCTCCCTGACCATGGGGCCTCTCACTGAAGGCGACTGGAAGCCTAGCTGGAGTGACACCCTTTTTGCAAACGTCTGCATACCTCTACCTTCGGAACGGAGTATTATCATCCATTCACCCCCTCATTCTCCATCACAAGAACCCGCAGCCAAACATCTTAAAAATTTTATTGACAAAGGTAAGACCGTTATCGATCTTCACCCCGAACCTACCCCTCCTCCCAGTCCTACCCCTGCTCCCGAGTTAAAGGATGTCAAAGTTATCGAATCTTCCATTAGGCCAGTACCTCACCACATCCCACAGATTCGAGCACCTCCTCCTGACAAAGCTGGACCCTCTGTCCGACGCCCTTCACCACCACCACCTGCTTCTCGATCGCCCCCACCCACTATCGGCTGGATTGATAGTGACCCAGACAACCTGCCACCCTCTCCTCGCCCTCAGCCAGTGGACGACTCTCGTGACTCCGACAGAATAGAGTCTGAACCCAGTGAGGATTCCTTTCTGCCAGAGTTTTATTTGTAGTTGTTTTATTTGGTCATGGATTAATACTACTCATAGGACTTGGGTTGTTTTTTTTTTTATTATTATTTTGAAATACTGAACTTTGGGGTTATTTGGTTTTGATTTTCATTTTACCTTGAACACTTTGGTTGGATGGTTTATATATATGCTCTTCTTTTACCAACATACTCTTTATTATATTTCCATAATTTTTATCTTCAACTGTGCCGTCATTTTAGAGTCATCCTGTGAATAATCGAAGTACTTAACATAAGTGTCTTGTATGTGGTTGAGATGCGGGATTAATTAAATTATACAATTTATGATGAGTGAACTCAATGCAAATACATTGTTATAATCGTTATTTTTATTTTTATTCGAGGTATTCTGATAAATCAATGATTTGAGTTGAAATATGAATACTCTTTAATCGAGTTCTCTTACGCGTCTAATTTAGGTGTGCCATATGGTAAAGTCTTAAGTCATATTATGAGTATATAGAGTTATGGTAGAATTTAGGTGTTACAAAGATGAACGAAGAAGCATCTTTAAGCCAATCTTCAATCCGATTCCTCAAGATTTGAAGCTTGGTGTTTGTCCCCAATCTCCCTCTCAGACTCTCTCAACACTAGAAAACAAATGGAAAGTAAAAATGAACCAAAAATCCCAATAGATCTCAGCTAATTCGTATATATAGAATTCCTATTTTTCTGGTGTGCTCTCTATTTTTTCACTATAGTAGCCACGCAGAGGTTCAAGGTTTGCGTGTGTTCACTTTTGTGAACAATAGGAGACATGCGTAGCTTGCAGTGATGGAAGGCTCTATGAAATTATCACTTTTGTGAACAAAAGTGATAACGCATCTATCTTGCTTTGATAGAAGCTTCTTTGGAATGATTACTTTTGTGTACAAAATTGATAACGCGCAGCTTGCTTTTCTAGAGGCTTCTGTGGAACGATTACTTTTTTGAACAAAAGTGATGACGCGCACCTTGCTATGCTTGAGAGCTCTCTGGAACGATCACTATCATCAGTGATAGTGATAACGCACAGTCATCCTTCAATATTAGGCTCTAGAACAATCACTTTTGTGAACAAAAGTGATAATGTCCAACTCTTGATTCACTAGACCTTGTTCCTTGATTCCAATTTTTGCTACTTTTCTTTTATCTTTCTCTTAATCTTCCAGCCTTATGAATTTAGCTCAGAATTTCCTACAAAAATATGATTAAATCATTAATTTCTTCATAGAAAATTAATAAAATCTAAACAACTATGTATTTAGAAAAGACTTTGAACATTCTATTATTTTTATGAGTTTTTCAGCTTTTTCTAACATGTTTTATTTATCAAATGTATTAAAACTAAGATAAAATACTGGTAAAATATGAATTTATCACCACCCTAAACTTGAATATTTGCTTGTCCTCAAGTAAATCAAAACATATCAAGGGCATGATGTAACACCTTATAATTGTAATTTCTAAATAAACTGAATTTCGTAAAAATGTTAACAAAATAGAGGTTTTCATTCAACAGTAGTTCAAAAACACAATTTCATAAAGTGGTTCTTAAAAGGAAATGATTACAAGTTTGTTTCATAGCTTGCTACAGGACTCAAATATACATTAAAACTTCCAAAATAAACTTCTAAGTCCTATAGCAATGTCATCTATCCTTCCTTCAGGTGGCCCGGTGCTGATCGTCTTGGTTACTTGAAAAATAAGCGTAAGGGTAAGTCCTTTACTCTAGCATAAGCACAGAAGTAAGCATAAGACTCACCTAAACTATCTCACTCAAGGCACACACAACAATCACAAGCAGCTGCGCTCACTGCACCGACAATCAATTACAAATACATGCATTTACATAAACATCCATGCGCTCACTGCACGTAACCACGCTCACTGTGGCACGGTGATCACAGATTCTTGATGCCCTCAACCTCAGGGACCTACTCACTGCACGTAACCACGCTCATTATGGAGAGAATCGGGAAGGAGAGAGCGGGAAATCATGAAAATAACCCCCTCCTCGAACCCTAACCCTTCAAATACCCCTCTGGTCCCGACACTCTCACTAGAGCGAGATATGGACCTCGCTATAGCGACACGCTTTCTCGCTACAGCGAAAAGCTTAGACAGTTCTACACTCTAGTTTGTGCAGAATCTCGCTACAGCAAGACTGCATCCAGAAATGCACCCTAAACTGTCACTTAGTCGCTACAGTTAGACGTCTCTCACTACCACGAGAAGGCGACAGTCGCATGCCTTTAACCCAGGGACCTCTCGCTATAGCGAGGATTATCTTGCTATAGCGAGATTGCCCTGCACCAGGACTTAACCTATTTCTTTGAATCCAAATTCCAATCACACACACATATATATATACATACATTTGCATATGTCTGTATTCACACACACATTCCCATTAAACTAAGGCACATCCTTACATCCATATCACTATCAAATCAATCAACACACCATAAAATAAAAATATATAAATACATGATTAATTAATAATTCAAAACTCGAGGCGTTACACATGAATTCATTCATCAATTGAAATCCATAATGAAAAACTTTTTACATATCAAAAAATTCAGATTTTCAAAATTCATTCCAATTCAATCCATTCTAATTATTTTCTTACTAATTTATTCACCAATTATTCATCATGACAATCACACTTGAATCATCTTTTACTTTACGCGTGTTCACTATGAATGGTTGGAGTGTTAACGCGCAATTGTGCGTTGTTACTCTTAGTGGATGGAGTGTTAACGCGCAAAGTTCTGGGCAAATCAATCTTGGGCGTAGCTACTCTGAGTGCTTGGAGTGAACATACATAGAGTTGTATCATATTTTCTGCTGCTAGAGTGTTCATTTTCACCACCTAGAGTTGCTACTCACTTGCTTATTATGAATTTCTTCTTCAAAGTGTTAACTCTATGTGCCCAGAGTAATTACGCCCAACACATAACACTTGATTCTTCATCTTTAAAGGTCAATTCCTCTACTTTTTTCACTTCATTCTTCAACTCAAATATCTTCAATGCAAGCTTCTACACAAGAATTAAATTTTTTTAAGTCAAATTGTTCAAAATTAGAATAAAATCTAAAATACTCAACTATTTATACAATTATGAATATTGATGCAATTTTTATAGTTTTTCCAAGTTTATTCAATACTTTACTACTTATTTATTAACAAAAACTATACTAAAAATATAGTAAAATGTGGATTTATCATAACTCAAAATAACTATGTTCTATAGCAGTTCTCATCCATCCATGCACTGTGAGCCCAGTATTATTCACCCTAGTTTCCTAAAAATGTTGTTTAAGGGTGAGTCTCTACCCTACCACTCATACATAACACATATTCATCATAAAACATATCTTATCATGATTAAAGAAAGCATTATGGTATTACATATCACAGTGTCATATAAAGCAAGTTCTCATCTCAACACATAAACACATTATACTTTTCATCATATACATCAAACCATGGCATATTTACAATACACATCATTTTTACATGAAACATAATATATTCAAACATGAAACATCAATCTCTTTGTATATTTCATATCACAAAATCATAAAATCATATCAACCATCCTCAAGATACCGTATCATGCACTATTTGAATATAATATCACATTTTCACTATCACAATCGTGGGCACGATGGGACGGCGATGACAAGGAGTCGCCACCAAAGTTTATTAAAGAAAAACATTGGAAAAACTTCTAATAAAATAATCTTCAAAACCATATTTGGGCTCAGGAGTCGTTTACGCATAGGGAAGGTATTAGCATCCTACAACGTCCGTTGATTAAAACGGTTACTTTCTAACTAATTGTGCAAAAATTATTTCAACTTTAAAAATTATTTATTTCATTTTTTAAAGAAAATTATTGATGTTTTTTTTTTATTTTCTGATTTTCATTCACTTTTTTTTTAACAATTTTTTTTAGTTTTAATTTTATATATAATTTTTTAGAAATACAACAAAAATTTGAATTAAAGAAATGAATATATATAAAAAAAACTATTTTTCTTTTATTTTCGTATTAAATAAATTTAAATAAAATATGACATGATTTTTTATTTTTCTTAAAGTACGATTTCCCTTTTCCTTCTTTTGTATTTTTTCATTTTTAAACAATGAGCTAAAAAATCTAATAGAGAAAGTGAAATATTTATACAATATTATTCCTTTTATTATCATATTAAATAAATTTGAATAAAGATCAACCTGATTTTTTATTCTTAAGTAAAAATTCATTTTTTGCATATTTTTTGTAAAGAACTTAAAGAATTTAGTTTTAATTGGGAAAATGGATTATTTACAAAATATTATTCTCTTTTTTTATTTTTTTGAATTGGATAAATTTAAACAAAATTTATTTTAATTTTCTCTCTTTTTTTTAAGTATAAAATTCATTTTTTTATATTTTTTACTAAAAAATTAAAAAAAATTAATTTAAATTAGGAAGATGGATTATTTATAAAATATTATTCATTTTTTATTTTTCATATTAAATAAAATTTAGTTTGATTTTTTTTAGTAAATATCTATTTTTTATTTTCTAAATAAAGAAACAAAAAAAATTTAATTTGAATTGAAAGAAGGGATTAATCATAGAATCTTATTGCCCCCTCTCTTTTTTTTTTTTTTTTTTTTTACATTTTTAGCATTAATGAAAATAATCTTAAAACATTTTTATTTTATTTTATTTACTTATTCCCCTTTTTAAAATAAATATAGAAATTTTTTTTTCCTTTTTTATTATTTTGAATTGCTCATAGTAAATTTTTTTTTTAAAAATGATTTAAAATAAAAAAAATTAAAATTATTTTGGACTTGACGGGTCAGGTTCCCGCTCCTACGTATCTCCCATATGCAACAGAAGAATCAAAGCTGTCACGTAGTTCTTTTGAAAATTAGGTTTGAAAGAGTTTTTAAAAATTAGGTTTGAAAGAGTTCCAAAAGTGTTAATTAATTTTTTT